CAGCCCTAGGTTTACCTTAAACCTAGAGAGTGGCACGCTTCTCAAGGCTATAAATACTTAATTAATCCTCATTAGTTAGGGAATCGAAAAATCAAGAAACCAAGCAGAGAAGAACAGAGATATTACGGAACACCAACAACCGGCTAATCTCGCTAACGACGCAGATTACCAACACTAGGCACTCTCACCTAGAGAGACCTTATTACTTTAATTTCCGTATTAATTACTCCTTAATCAGGTACTAACTTGACCGTTGGAGGCGGAGCTCTCAGGAGTCTCCGTTATTTTGCAGGTACAGGCGTCCGGTTCCAGTCTCGGAATTGTAACTCTCCCGCAGGACATCAGAAAACCCCGAAACAATTACGCTGCTCAATATTTATGAAAAGATTCAATTAACTATTCAGAATCGAATCGTGTATGTTTATAAAGTTGATCTTAAGGAATTAAGATATGGCAGGTTCTTATTCATTTTTATTCTGCTTAACTACTTACAATTTGTCCCTGTAAACTCCAAATTCAACTGATCATAGTTTCGAGTAATGATCCCAAGGAAGGTGTCTTTGTGTTTGCCTTTCATTGTTATGGATTACTGCATAAACTGGATTATTGTTGTTCTATGCTTTTGTATCATTGCTTGTAGCATAAAACATATTTCATATTTGGTACTCGACTACTTGTAATAAAATGATGTATACTGTGAACTCTCTCTACACAAGCAATGTATATCCTTGGGAGGACTGAGTAGAGAGAGTAAGAAGGATTATAGGCTCACTGAGAATTCAATGTTGAAGACAGCACAAAGTACACTAAAAAGTCTAAAACAACTACATTCTTGGGAATTTAAAATGGTCCAAATAGTAGGGTCAATAATCTTCTCTTTTCCATGTGCCTTAACCAATCTAGTGCCAGTAACACGCTTTAGGGCCCTCCCCTGCAAGAACCAATCCCTATAAATACCCATTTATCTTATCATTGGTAATCATCTTTTTCTGAGTTTCAAAACATTCCCATGGCTGCCCACAAAATCTCTTGTGTTGTTTTCTTTTTGTTATTGGGATTAGGCATCTCCTCTGCTGCTAGGTCCCTCCTTACTTATGAACATGTAGGGGGCTATGCAGGTGGTGGTGGTGGAGGTAGTGGTTCAGGTGGGGCAGCCGTTTATGATGGCGGACATGCTGCTGGATATGGTGGTGGAGGTGGTGAAGGAGGCGGTGTAGCACATGGTGGATATGCTGGTGGAGGTGGTGGTGGAAGCGGTGGTGGTGGTGCATACAGTGAAGGAGGAGCGCATGCTGGTGGTTATGGTGGTGGTGAAGGCGGTGGTCATGGTGGAGCCGGTGCATATGGTGGAGGTGCTTATGCCGGTGGTGGCGGTGGTGGCAGTGGTGGAGGTGGTGCTGGTACATATGGTGCTGGAGGAGAGCATGCTGGAGGATATGGAGGTGGTGCAGGTGGTGGTCATGGAGGAGCTTATGCAGGTGAGGGTGGTGGTGCATATGGTGGTGGTGGTGGCAGTGGAAGTGGTGGAGGAGGTGCATATGGTGGAGCAGGAGGACATGCTGGTGGCTATGGAGGTGGTGAAGGTGGTGGCCATGGAGGAGCTTATGCCGGTGGTTCTGGAGCATATGCTGGTGGTGGTGGCAGTGGAAGTGGTGGAGGAGGTGCATATGGTGGAGCAGGAGGACATGCTGGTGGCTATGGAGGTGGTGAAGGTGGTGGCCATGGAGGAGCTTATGGTGGAGGTGGTGCTGGTGCATACGGTGGTGGTGGTGGAAGTGGCGGCGGTGGCGCTGGTGCTTATGGTGGTGGCAGTGAAGCTGCAGGTGGTGGATATGGTAGTGGAGGAGGAGCAGGTGGTGCTGCTGCAGAAGGAGGACATGCATATGGTGCAGGTGGAGGTGGCGGCTCAGGAGGTGGTGGAGCCTATGCAGGTGGTGCTCATGCAGGTGGATACGGTGGTGGTGCCGGAGGTGGTGAAGGAGGTGCCCATGGTGGGTATTACCCTTGAATTCAAATCGCCAATTCCAAACTTGGCCTACATTAGTAATAATGAGATTGAAAATTCAAAACTACATGATAGTAATGTAACTGATACTCATTAGTCCATGAAGAACCTACTATATGTAGTCATATAACTATATCAATCCTATAGTTGCTTCATAATTTTACTTAATGATTTGGATACATAATGAAATCGTGAGCTCTCCCCATACAGCCACTTCATGGTACTTATTGATTAATGATTGCAGTTAACTACATGTACAAGTAATTGTTTCTGATTTTACTTTAATCCATTTTCAGTAGATTGATAAAATCACACCATCTTGCGGAGGTCTTGTACAATTACAATCCGGAGAGAAGAGTAAAATAAAGGATTCCTTGAATTTTTATTTTTTGACCTTTCCTATTCTTAACCTTTGGGAGAACAACTCTGACAAGAAAAGCTGTGTTATTGCTCATGTGAGGTTATGAAATAGGAGCAAAGAGAAATATTTCGACTATGTTATCTGTACTCTTCATCCTAAAACAAACTTTAGCACCAGTTCCTTTCATTTTAACATGAATATTATGTGATTTTTTGAAACTCAGACCATTTAGATTGTACTGGTAGCAACTAGCAAAATGATATTACTGATGTAGTTTTGTGCATGCATGCAAAAAGAGGCTAAAAAAACTGATCTCTCTTGAAATGGGTTGCCAGTATTTGCAGACTGCAATGCTATAAATTAATATGGACTTTTAGAAAGGGCCTTTTGTTCACAAATTAGTGTAAATCAGTGAAAGTGCCAAAATGTTCAACTTCTATTACTACTGAGAAAATTTATAGAGATAAGATTCTTTATTATTAAATTTTTTTATGGCTAACGTTTTGCATAATGTTCTGATTTTGGTATTCCTCCAGCTTATAAACTATTCTCGAATGTGTCAATATAAACTCGAGGAATGTTCAATTTTATAAGCTGCGATCTGCAGTTTAGGATGCGTAGTACTATTGCTTTTGTCAGATGCTTGAAAGATACTTCTGCAGTAGCTAATGTTGAGATTTACAGCTTCTCAGAATAGCAGATTCATCATCCCTGTGTAAGACTATATATGAAACTCTATATAGTATCGCGATCTTTAGATATTATGAGCTTTTATAGATAGAGATAGAAGGTTAGAAGCCATCAGCCTTTGTGATTTGGTTTATGAGCTTTGGGATTGTCAGAATCTAAGTCATTGTACTCAAAATGTAAAATAAAATCAAACATAGTCAGTGAAAACTTTAAGCCATTAATTCTCACGACAATCCTCCTATTACATTGCTCTGAACAACTAGCTAATTGAGCCACTTGTTCTTCATTTGTGTGATATTAATAGCATAACTAGTAGGAGAGTTAGCCAAACAACACAATTATACTTATCAGGAAAACATTGATTTTACCTAATTTGAGAAAGCAATGTACTGATAAAATTATATGCATCCTGTAACCAATAATTTGAAGGATATTCGCGGTTGTTTTTTATCCAAGAATGTGTGCATGCACAGCTCGAGAGTTTGAGACATAATGTGTCTTTTGTATGGCATATACTTTCTATGTTACTATTATTATGCTTAAAGTGCAGAACTGCAGACTTGCTCTCTTGTGAACCCTTCTAAATTTTCAGCCTTTTGCTTCTAAATTTTCTGTTCTTCTTCAGAGCAAAGTGAAAAGTCTACATACAATTCATTAGTGTAAACTTGCTCTGTTGTGACTTGTGAGCCCTTTTATGTGAGACTGTCTCACACATTAAACTATTCTGACTGTTATATAGTTATCCTGTCACTCATGAAATATTACTAGCTTATATAATTGCAGAACTTAATTCAATGCCTAAGTCTGAAAGAGTTCGCCAGATTACTCAAAGAAAAAGAAACGGACGAATTTCAGAAATGTGCAAATAGCTCACATCTCGTTCCAGAAACTATCATCTAGCGTTTTGTAAACCTGAAACTAGACAAAAGGGTACGATTTGCTTTTAAATCCTATTTTAAAAGAACTGTGGATTGTTGATTGGGGGTACCTGATTTAAGATTGTTCGTATGTGAAAGCACGTAACTTAATCAACTATACGCGAATAAGACACGGCGTAAAATAATTACATGTCTTTCAAATTAAGCAAATATATACGAAGTATAACCAGAATATGACTATCAGACTATATGAGCATGGAACAACATTATGCATGCTAAGGTGCCATGGTGGTGTTCTACATTATATTGTACCAGAGTTTCAATCCTTGGTTTTACAATTTAATTTATTAGCTAATATCTTCTATTGAATTTGAATTATTAATAAATAATGCATGCACTTGGTTAACAATAATGCGTTAAAACAAGATAGGGTATTCATAATTAAATCAGTCCATATGCCCATTATCTCATAAAGCTATAGTATAAGTATAATTAAGCAAATAGAAATAAGGAGCGGGACAAAGGTTACCTAATCAAGATTAGATTTCTCCAAATTGGGGAGTGATTTGGAACGAACTAACTATAAGATTAAATGCAAATAAACTTCAAATATTAATATTTTAAATATCAATATATTAAATTTTAAAAATTTGATGTTTTGAAAGAAGTACTGTTTTATATATTAAGACAACTTTAACAAAATTCAGGTAAGTGTTTTAGTTGTTATGATGAATCATTTAAAATAGAGATTCGAAATTTTATTTTTAAAGAACTGAGGAAATTAACTTACATTTAAAGTACTACTACTCTACTAGTACATTATAATTCACGTGTTGGAAGACAGCAGAGGCACACTACTTACTGTCACTATATTAAACTTAAGAGAATAATACTACTACTAGCTAATTAATAGATATACAACTTGAAAATATAGCGGCTTATGCTTTGTATTTGGTAAGTAGCTAGTACCGTATAGTGGGAACAATGAGTAATCCATTCCCTTTTTATCATGTTGAGTGCGAGTAACACGCTATTTTAATCCTAATCCCATGCCTATAAATACCATCGATCTAAGCATCCCCAAAATCATCACTTACAAACATTCTCAATATGGCTTCTCACAAAATATCTTGTGTTGTTTTTTTCTTGGTGTTAGGAGTAGGTATGTGCACTGCCACCAGGGCCCTTCTCACTTATGAACTTGGAGGGCATTCCGGTGTTGGTGTTGGTGTCGATGTTGGTGTTGGTGTAGGCGGCTATGCTAGTGGAGGAGGTGGTGGAAGTGGTGGAGGCGGAGGAGTTGCTCATGGTGGAGGTGCAGGAGGATATGGTGGTGGTAGTGGTGAAGGAGGTGGTGCAGCTAGCGGTGGAGCTGCCTATGCTGGTGGAGGCGGTAGTGGAAGCGGTGGAGGTGGTGGAGCAGCTCATGGTGCTAGTGGTGGGCATGCTGGAGGATATGGTGGTGGTAGTGGTGAAGGAGGTGGTGTAGCTAGTGGAGGAGCTGCATATGGTGGAGGTGCTGGTGGAGGAAGTGGAGGAGGTGGGGCATATGGGGCTGGAGGCGAGCATGGAAGTGGTGCCGGCGAAGGTGGGGGCCATGGAGGTGGGGCCGCTGGTGGTGGAGCTGCCTATGGTGGTGGTGCCGGTGGCGGAAGTGGTGGTGGTGGAGCATATGGTGCCGGAGGCGAGCATGCAGGCGGTGCCGGTGAAGGTGGAGGCCATGGAGGTGGAGCTGCTAGTGGCGGGGCTGCCTATGGTGGTGGTGCCGGTGGTGGTAGCGGTGGTGGCGGTGCTTACGGAGCTGGAGGAGAGCATGCCGGTGGTGAAGGTGGTGGCCATGGAGGTGGTTATGGTGCCGGTGGGGCTGGTGGACATGCTGGTGGTGGCGGAGGAGGTAGTGGGGGTGGTGGTGGTGCAGCCTATGGCGGTGGAGCAGCTGCAGGTGGCTACGGTAGTGGTGGTGGAGCAGGAGGAGGTGTTAGTGAAGGAGGTCATGCATATGGTGCTGGTGGAGGTGGAGGATCTGGTGGTGGAGGTGGCTTCGCTTCTGGGGGAGCCCATGCTGGTGGTTATGGGGGTGAGGCCGGTGACGGTGAAGGGGGTGCTCATGGAGGATATATGCCTTGATCGATATCATTTATTAATTTGAGCCAATTTCATCGAGCTGTTGCTTAAATGTTATGGCTTTTATTTTAATATTTTTCCGACTATTCTCATTTGCAATAAGGTTGGTCATAGCAATGAAATTTGCAAGAACTAAAATAGATATGTATTGTTGTTAAATATGATTGTGTATGCAACAGTCACGGTGCAATGCTTGCAACATGTTGCATAAAATTGTAATATACTCTTATTGCTTCTGCAATTAATGAATTTTCATTTTCTATCTAAATATTGTTCAATCACAATTAAAAAGCCTCCATAATACGTAAAATGTTTTGCATGGATGATAAAATTCATCAACCACAAATTAAGTTGAGACTTTGGGTCATACGTCTCATAATTAACCCCCCTTATTTTATTCCAATATTCACAATCACGTATGTAGTCCTTTTCTTTCCAAATATCACGATAATTTTTTTTTTCTTTTTTTTTTTTTTTGACAAAAGCAAATTATATTGATAAATCAGAGTTTACAACATACGAAATTAAAACTTAACCTTACTACTACTTGGCTTTTAACATTTAAGCCTTTCCAACTTTCGACACTAAAAACCAAAATACATAACTGGAGTTGGCCGGAAAAGTTGTGAAACATGACCTCTTTATAGGCCCAAGAGCGGATACCTACTTCAAAACATAAAGAGAGCAGAGAGTATTATTCACTGTCCTCGCTCAAAATTTAAAAGGCCTACTAACTACGTAAACTATCTTGTTTGAGAAGCTTTTTGCGTGAGACCAGATTTATCGTTAGTCCAATATATCTGACAATAATATTCTAATATCTGACAATAATATTCTAATATACGACATTAATATTCTAATATACGACATTAATATTCTAATATCTGACATAATATTTGACATTAATAATCTAATATCTGACATTAATAATCTAATATCTAACATGAGAAATCTAATAATCTAATGTCAGATATTAGATTATTAATGTCAAATATTACTTCGTAGAATATTAATGTCATATATTAGAATATTGTTGTCAAATATTAGATTATTATTGTCAGATATATTAAATTTACCCAATTTTTTTTCGATCTTGTTTATGGATTATCAAAGCTACCCACCTCGGTCACCATTGCATGCAAGACTACGTAAGATATCTTGCATGCATGATAACTTTCTCTAAACTATACTCGCTATGTGCCATAAAGATTCAGACACATATCGTGACACATAGCCCTTTATTTTATAATTAATGTAATAATATATTGTTTTTTATCAATAGTTTTCGTTTTAAACCCCTTAATTTGTTCTTTTTCCCTAAACCTCTATTATTGTCCAAACATCTCTTAACCACACACCCTCAAAGTGAAATATGTTTTTAAAGGTAAGAGATTGTGTTACTCTAGCCATTTACTCCGTAGTACGTAGTGGAAAAAAAATATATTGATTTAAATAATTGTAGATTGTTTTTTCTTTCAAAAAAAAAAAATGAAGATGGTTTCTAACTAATATATTAGTTTAATTAATAACTAATTAATATGACTTAGGAAAAACAAAAATAAAAAATTAAAGTAATTTAATATGAAATAGATAAAATATTAGAAATTAAGTTCAAGTTTTTGAGGCATTCATTCATCAATTCTCTAAATCAAACTATAGAAATGTCAAAAACTTGAACTTGTATTAGCCGTTGATTTTGTGCAGTCCATGCATGCAACTTATATCAACTCCAAGTGTTACTTTAATTGGGTCTTGATTGTTGTTATTATTGCTATAATTTTATTATTTGCTGTTCTTTATTATCGCAACCTTGCCCATTTTACACCTGTCAATGCAAATTTATAACATTAACATCATTTTTAGACGAATTTAACTAGATCCCACGCCATATAAATATATTTTTCCACCTTTAATTAAATCACAAAAGCTGATCAAAGGATTACGTATGAATGGTGTCAAATTCCAAACATTGCGAATTAAAAAGAACTGAAAAGGTATAGTATATACTATGTACTTCATAACCAATAGAGTCATTTTTTTACATAATTATATGATTATGTACATGGTAACTGGATGCTTAGGAAATTTTTTTATAGAAATAATCATGGTGAACACACATTAACTCCGATCCAATTATTGCTACTTAATATTATTTGGCCTACCAATTTGAGCTAGATAATACTTCGTGTTTATTTGTATAGCTTAACATGCATGTGCGGATTTGTCCATGGGCTACTTTTATCATAATATCATTTATTATTATAATGTACAAGTAATTAATTAAGAAAATTATATATGTTTGCATGGAAATTGCAATCTTGAATTTGATCTTATAAAATATCACCTAATTTTTCTCACAAATCAGTGTAAAACAAGTAATTAAGCAGTGCAACCTTAGTTGTGATTTTAGTTTGCAATGCTCTTTCTAGCTTGAGAACATTATTGCTAACTTCAAGTCAATAGTGGAGGCATGCATGCAGCAGCTCCAATCATAATATTATTCATACCTTTGTTTTCTTGTTATATTGTATAGTTGCTCTCGTCCACTGAATTTTTTTTTCATGATGTAGTGATTATAATTAATAGTGGCTTTCAATTTTTACCAGGTAACTTATATGGCATGGGCTGTCTCACACGACAAATGTGAAATGGATGATAACAATATAATTACATACTTTGTATTAAATAATAATTTTCATGAACTATTTCAATTATTGTCATTTATATTACTCGTCGTATGGAATCATTTAGTGTTTTAATATAGACTCAATGAACAAGTATTATAATAATTACGGAGTAATAATAAGTAACATTTCTAATTTTTTATTTAAAAATAATTAAGTGTCTGAAAAGGTTGAGTAATAAGTTTTGATAATCACGATTACATAACTAAATAAAGAAACGCGCGTTTTCAGTGTGGCTGGCCACACCGTCCATGTGGCGACCAGATAATCCCTGATCGAGTAACTCCTGACTTGTTAACCGAGTAACTCTTGACCGACCGAGTAACCCTTGACCAAATAACCCATGATCGAGTAACCCCTAATCAATACAAGTAACTCCGGCCACACGGTGAAGCCAGGTACATATGAAAATTTGTGATAAAGAAATCAATGACACTATATAGTATCTTGGTGAACACGTATCAAATATATATATCCATCTATCTTGTTCCAATAATTACTGTAAAGAAGATTATTGAGTGAGAACTTCCTGCTTCAATTCAATAGCATACCAATATTTTTAATTAATTGAGACGGTGGTATAAGAAAACTTGTAAAAGAGTTAGTTTGTTTTTAAACCTAACCAAAGATTTGGTGGGTCTTTAACAATGATCTTAACAGCAACGGTGCCGGTGTACATATTACTGCACGTATTGTACTATTTTACCATCTCTGTTACATCTTTTCCAAGCATCAGAATTGGCGTAACAGTTATATGCATCACCTTCTAATCCTTTAATTTATATATGCCGCCGCGCTTAACAATTACTTCGATATGCATCTCTCTTTATGCTATAGCAAGTAGTATTTTAAATGTAAAATGATTCATGTTATTAATTACTATATGATGATATAGTAATATAAACTTATACGGAGTATGTAAAATGAGAAAAAATAAACATAATTTCATGATATGATGATACGTCCTAATATAAAGTCAATGTTGTTGGAGACAGCCAAAGTACACAAAAATTGCTAACTACATGCACCCCTTATATCTTGATAAAGTAGAAGCAAGCTAAAAAGGAAAGAGTTAGTGGGATTATGGACTTTTGTCATCCATGTGACTCAACCACTCTTAAGTCGTCCTAGCTAGTGCAAGTGCAAGTTACACGCTTCCTCACCTCCCTATCCAATTCCTATATATACCTCATGTTTTGTATCATTGGGATATCATAAGGTTTTTGGATTCAAATAACAAAAACACATTACATTACAATAATACATTGTAATGGCTTCACAAACAATCTCTTATGTTGCTTTTTTCTTGTTACTAGGTTTAGGGTTATCCTCGGCCACTCGAGCTCTCCTCACTTATGATCATGTAGGAGGATATGCCGGTGGTGGTGGTGGTGGTAGTGGTTCTGGTGGTGGAGTTGTTTATGGTTCGGGTAGTGAGCATGCTGGTGGGTATGGCGGTGGAGGTGGTGAAGGAGGCAGTGCAGCATATGGTGGTGCTGGAGCTGGAGCTCATGCTGGTGGAGGCGGTGGTGGTAGTGGTGGTGGTGGAGCATACAGTGCAGGAGGAGGGCATGCAGGTGCTTATGGAGGTGGAGAAGGCGGAGGCCATGGTGGAGCTAGTGCAAGTGGTGGGAGTGCTTATGGTGGTGGTGCCGGTGGTGGAAGTGGTGGAGGTGGTGCTTATGGCGCAGGAGGAGAACATGCTGGAAGCTATGGTGGGGGTCAAGGTGGAGGCCATGGTGGAGCTTACGCCTCTGGTGGTAGCGGTGCATATGCTGGTGGTGCCGGAGGAGGTTCTGGTGGAGGTGGTGCTTCAACTGCAGGAGGAGAGCATGCCGGAGGGTACGGAGGTGGTGAAGGTGGTGGCCATGGAGGAGCTTATGCTGGAGGTGGTGCTGGTGCATACGGTGGTGGTGGTGGAAGCGGTGCTGGCGGTGCTGGTGCTTATGGTGGTGGTAGTGAAGTTGCAGGTGGTGGATATGGTAGTGGAGGAGGAGCAGGTGGTGCTGCTGCAGGAGGAGGGCATGCATATGGTGCAGGTGGCGGAGGCGGCTCAGGAGGAGGTGGTGCCGCCTATGCTGGTGGTGCTCATGCAGGTGGATACGGTGGTGGTGCTGGAGGTGGTGAAGGAGGTGCCCATGGTGGGTATCCTTGAGACCTTGACTGCATATATTGTATTAGCATACAATACAATCAAGAATCTAAATTCATCGATCAAGATTAAGTATTATAATCAAGTATTATTATTTATGTGGAACGAAGTATTTTGTTTAAGAATTCGGATTTATTAGGCAATTGTTGTAAGAGCCTGAAGGACATTGCCAGATTTCTATATGTAACGTGTAATCTTATACGAACTTCAATACAATTATTCAAGTTTCCATAATGATGTCTCAAAGAACCTATGATTGATTGATTGATGATCTCTGATCTGCCAAGTTCTAAAGTTCATCTTTATTGTTTATAATGATTTATGGGTGATGAACTATACGAAGTAGTTAACAATTATAGTCAAGGTATGTTTTATTCTTTAGGTTTTCACTCATATAAACTTATATCAATAAAGCAGAATATATGTGACCTTATTGAAAATTTATTTCAATTCTAATTCAAAAAATAAAATAAAATAATACACGTATATCATCTCAACACTTCATAATTAAATAAAGCCCTTTATTATTACGATAAATCAGTTTCAATTTTTATTCATTACTTAATTTTAATCTCTTAAATAAATGCCTAATCATCTTAAATACCCAGTAAAAGTTTAAATCATACAATGTTTTTTTTCCGTATGTTGATGACTTGATAAGCATTAAAACTTCTTAAGATTTACCTCCTGTAGTTTTTGAGAGTACTGTTGTATGAAAGTAGTGGATGAAATTCAATCCCAATATACTCTATATATTGTAATCGAGAAAATCGATCAATGCATTCTTTGTGGCTACATGCTGGTAGAAGCCAATATGATTATAGTCTTAATGTCTACGTGACGGGACCATACTTAATAATTACTAATACCTTGTTTACACTAAAGGCATGTTTAGATTGGGGGTAATATATTAAGAGGGTAATAAAAGTCAAACTTGAAAAAAAATAAGTAATTAAAAGTGGTGTTGTAGGAGACAAGCTGTTTACAAATGAAATAAGATAGTTGTGCCATGAGAAAAAGAGAGATGGAGAAATTATTATCCTCATAATGAGGGTAATAGTTACCCACCCTCCCCCTAGTATAACTATTATCCCCAAAATGAGGGTATTAGTTCTTTTTTCTTCACCTCATACCACACTATCAATACATAATTTTTCCTCACTATCACACCATCACTATCTCCTCCTTTTCCTTTTTTTTTTTTTTACATCACTTTCATTTTATTTAGTTTGACTTTTATTACCCTAATAATAGATTTCCGTCAATCCAAGCATACCCTAACTAATAATTCTCTCTACTCCGAAAAAAGGAAGTGCATACATGGATTACATGCACATGACGAAAAATAAAAAAATAAAAAAAAGACTGAGGAATTTTAAGTGCCTCGGTTTGATTAATTAATATACTCTTCTCTTTTCTTTGCTATATAAATATATGCACCTCAATGCAAAAAAATAAAATAAATAAATTGAGTGCTCCGTTTGAGGTCCAAGTTTGAAATTATTTCTATCGATGGAGTTGATTCACTCTTGCATGCGCAGGCATCACAGCTCACACAACATCAGTCATCACAATTCTTGATTTCCACCATCTTCGATTCCTTCTTATTATAACTAACAAGATAAAGCAAGGAAACTAATTAAGTACTTCTAATATTAAGTTCAAAAACCCCTGTTCTGCAGCTCTTATATTTACTCCATTTCTTCATGAGACATAAAAACATAAACCAAACATGTAACTAAAGCTACTAAACAATCAGCAATTTTTCTGCCAGTCATGAAAATCAGATCAGAATAAAGTTATTGTCTAGCTGATTAATACAGTAGCAGCTATCAAAATGAATCAGCATCTCAATAACATGAGCTAGATCAACAACATCACAATACCCCCTAAGTATGCATATACTCCAAAAGTGATTGTGCTCCAATTCGCTTTTCGTCTAATAAGAGGATTTAGAAAAATAATCTTAAATTAAACATGTTGCACTAAGTGCAAGTAGATGCAATATTGATAATTTGATGTATGAATTATCCTAATTAATATCTTTAATAAGTTGCCTTTTCACTTGGTAAGGTACTTAACTAGACAAGTTGGCTATAATAAACTACAAAGATACTTTAGCCTTTAAGCAAAACCTTACAATTATAAAAGCATAATTATGCTTTATGTTGTATGACAGTATGATTGATTATTTAATTGGATAAAACTATGACCAACAAGATTATTCAATGGGAAAATAAGGAAAACAAGACACTAAAAATCTGGTCAGGATTGAATATCTACTGATTAACAAGTGATGTGGAAAGTACTAACTAATATCAGTGCTTAATACCCATAATTATCAAGAAAGCGCTATAATATACAAGTGAAAAACTATGTATTAAAACTATACAAATTTATAAATAGAATTATATTCAAATGTGGGAGACAGTAGCGGAGCACACCATGAAACTACTAGTAATCTGATCTTGAAGATGATGATGAATTACATACAATAATAAACTCGAGAGTTGGGGCTTCTGCTTTAGTTATAGTGGAAGGTGGGAACGAACGAACAATTACAAATCCTTAGGCTTTTGTCATGTGCTAGCTGCTTCAACCACTGTTGCAGTGGAAGTTGCGCGCCATTTGTGATTGTAATTTCATGCCTATAAATACATCTTCAACATTACTTAAAACCATCACATTCTCAAAATGGTTTCCCACAAAATCTGTTACTCTGTTTTATTCTTGGTGTTAGGCCTAGGCATTTGCTCTGCCACTAGAACTCTTCTCACTTATGAGCTTGGTGGACATGTTGGTGGCGGTGTTGAAGTAGGTGGATATGCTGGTGGTGGAGGTAGTGGAAGTGGGGCTGGTGGTGGGACGGTTTATGGTGGAGGTGGTTCCCATGCAAGTGGATATGGAGGCGGTGGTGGTGAAGGAGGTGGTGCTTCTGGTGGTGGTGCTGTTTATGGTGGTGGCGGAGGAGGTGGTAGTGGTGAAGGTGCAGCATACGGTGCTGGAGGGGAGCATGCTGGTGGTTATGGTGGCGGTGATGGTGGAGGCCATGGTGGCGCTGCAGCAGCAGGTGGTGCTGCCTATGGTGGAGGCGGTGGTAGTGATAGCGGTGGTGGTGGTGCTAGTGCTTCCGGAGGGGAGCATGCAGGAGGATATGGGGGCAGTGAAGGTGGGGGCCAAGGAGGTGGGTTTGCTTCTGGTAGAGCAGGGGGATACGCTGGCGGAGGTGGTGCGGGAAGTGGCGGTGGTGAGACTTATGTTGGTGGTGGAGGTGGTGGATATGGTCGTGGAGGTGGAGCTGGTGGTGGATACGGAGAAGGCTCTAGCGGTAAAGGAGGACAATATGGTGGTGGTGGAGGTGGCAGAACTGGTAGTGGAGGTGGTTATGCTGCTGGTGGTTATGGAGCTGTTGGCGGCGAAGGGGGTGGTCATTGATACGTGCCCTAAGGATATGCTGGTAGCCTGGTACCACTATAAGCTCATCTTAGTTGGCTTATGGATTAAAACACGGCCTTCTGAGCTACATGCGCTTCTGACCATAATAAATTCTAATTTCAGAAACAAGCTGTACAACATTAAAGAATATTTAAGCCTGATATAATGCATGAAAGTTGTAATACGAAATACAGTATATGATTTTCCATTTGATTGTGATTTGTGAAACAATGTCTCGACGTCTTCAGCTTGTATCATCATCTCTTTCACACCTAAAAGGCCAAAATGGTACGTTGTAGGCAGCAAATATATACTTCGTACATAAAAATTTAAGATTGCAGACAGAAAAAAATACTTCAAAATATAAAATGCCATATAAGGGTAGCGCCATATACAGAAAAATCCGTTCAGACACCTAGGAGTAAATAAACCCAGATCTCTAACAAAATATCGACAATCAGAAAGGCTAGCCCACGAGAAGTGGAATTTCGTCAGTTGAGCAAAATGACCAAGATACGTTAACCACTTGAGAACCTTAAAGTTGTGCTAAACTGTAACAGGCCGCAAGACACGTTTTGGACTGACTTTTACCCTTTTCTTGGGAGATTGTTGTCTTTTTTTTCTCTTGAACAATGAACTATCAGTTCGAGGGCCATTTATAGCAGCCAAAAACAACTGGCGCCTACCTGAGGGCATTGACCTTACATATTTCATCGCCTCCTTCCTTTTTATATCCTGTTTCTCTTTATTGATGAACTTCTTAGCTGATGACGACTTGTCTTTTATTTTGAGATGATCGAGTGGGATACGAAAGGCCTCTTCTGCAAGTTTCCATTTAACGCATGTACAGTTAATTTTACTACCCATCAGGATTCAGGAATGTTAAAAGAGGTTAAGGCTACTTATCAGTTAAATGAAATTTACCTGCAGGCTCCTCATCAGAGTATATATCCGGGCTTGGAGCTCTTGCAGGAGTAGAAGGTTTGATGCCGATATCATCTTTTGGCTCAACACCAGACATGTTCTCTAAATGTGAAGAGGTGCATGTTCCATCATTAGTCTGTTCTATTTCTCCAACTTTCTTAGAGGGTGTCTTGTCTTCGGTCGCATCATCTTCTTCCATCAAGGACAGGACAGCAAGTTCAAATTTATCATCCTTAACCTCAACATTATTTGGCACACTCCAAGAGGAAGCAAAAATTTGATTTGGTACTACAGCATCCTGGGCATATATAGCATTTGTGTTGACCTCATCTTGCATTAGCTCAGTTGCAGGTGTGACTGAAGTATCCCCAGTTACATCCCTCTTTCCATCAGCTTCACAAGAGTCACAACTATGAGGTCTTGTCGCAGCACCAGCTTTAGTTTCAAACTTATCCTGTCCAAGCTGCTCACTTGTAGAAGTAGGCGAAGTGTCTCCAATAGTATCCCTATTTCCACCAACTTCAACACCATGAAGACCACTCCCAACAGAATATGAAGTAGATGGAAGGTTCATGTCATCCAAAACAGACTTTGGAGAAGTGCTGGAGATCTTCTGATGACACTCAACTTTCCATTTATCGATCAAGCTACCAAACCATGGAGTGCCTTTTCTCGCATAAAAGAGAATGTATGCATCTTGACAAAGCACAATTTCTTCAGAAACCATAGTGACCTAAGGATTATAAATTCAGCATCAATGACCAATAACCTGTATAATTCCTCAAAAACAGAACAATCAGAAACTAAAAAAACATGGTGTGTTCATATCAAAAATACCTTTGAGTCGTCAAATCGATACCATTTCTCTGGATCAG